CAAAAAAAAAGAAAGACGACGAAACAAGAGTCCCAAAACAAAAAAAAAAAAAAATGAAAACGACCAAACCTTTGTTGTGGGGATGAAGGGCAATAGGCCGGATGGAAAGCACCATACGGATGCCACGAGGTTATCTGGGCTTAAATAGTCTCTTGAGGTTTTCTTGCCCCTTTGCACAAAAAAAATAACGACGCCCAAGAATACGTGTGACCCCCCACCCCCCCCCCCACCCCCCCGTGCTCTTCCGGTGAACGGCGTTCCTTGAAATGCTTGCTACGACGACAACAGCTTGGCACACACCACCCCTTGACCATCCGCGTGTCCCCCGACCGCCGTCGGCTCGGAGAGTGTAGATGAACCTTCCGTCAGAAGAACTCACCGTCTCTGAGAAGAAGTGGCCGTCGAAAAGACATCATTGTGCTTCGTATTGCACGTGTTATCAATGCTTAAGGGCAGTACTACAGCTGCACATCAAATGTTCGAGGCCGACAGACCCAGACAGCTGTATCTTACGCGGAGCGCTCCATGTTGCGTACTCCCCCCCCCCTCCCCCCCAAACATAGCTCATTCTCCGCGTTATCAATGCTCGAGGACAGCTGACCCCAACCCACCTCCTACTCTTGTCCGTTTTATTGGATCCGATCCTTTCTGTAGATCCAAGCACCGCCGCGAGCGAAGAGGCCGCTCGGTAGCCTTGTGGACAGCGCGGCGCTTCTAGCCTTGGTGCCAGGTGAGCGGAGACAGTGGTTTTCGTTGGGTGACAAACAGCTTTCTTCAACACTGATTGCGATGGAGGCTGATGCCGTGAAGTGCTACGTGGCTTGAGATAGTTGTGGAGTCGCAACAGCACTACAGTAGCAGTTGTTTCTGCATCGCACGGGGCCCCCATTCCGAAGTACTGTAGGTTACACTAGGCAGCCGTCTTGTAGTACAGCAGCGCGAAAGTGCGAAAGGGGTCTGTCTTAGCGTCAACGGCAGGCAGTAGATGAACAGGTGGTGTGCTCGGTTTCGACAGGAACGCGTAGTCAGTTGTCAGTGGTGAAAACCACTGCTCTGCAAGTGGAAAAGCGTCGCCTGCATATAAAGTCAAGACGGAAACAACAACTTTTATCAACAACAACAACAACAACAACAACAAGAGCAGTGGTCAAGTTTCAAGCAGCAAGCGGGTCCGCCCGCCTCTCCACCCTGCCTGTTGTTTCTTGTCGGCGGTCCTGTCCTGCATGCTGCCAGGTCCTCTGCTGCTGCTGCTGCTGCTGCTGCTGCTGCTGCTGCTGCTGCTGCTGCTGCTGCTGCTGCTGCTGCTGCTGCTGCTGCTGCTGCTGCTGCTACTACCGCTGAGACCCGGCGTTGGCAAACTTGGGGTGAATCGCACAGGCCGCGGAGGTACCGGTAGGCCATTGCTGCGCTCATCGGTGGCACCACAAGAGATGACAACAGACGTGGAAAGGAAAGGAGTGGACTGCTCGCTCGCACAATATTTTACCCGTCCGGAATTTAGGATGTAGGTGGTGAAATTGTATCCGCTGCCTGCCGTCGAACACGGTGCTAGAGAATAGGTCTTTCAAAGGGAGACAGACCCCGGAGGCCGATATTTTGTGTTGTCGCGATAATGCACCGTGGGTGTTGGGTCGAGGAGGGAGTTCCCAGAAGTTTGGGTAGGCCGCCGCCCTGAATCCGTCCTTTCGTGACGAACATCTTCAGCCGCGCCAACGTTTTTCGGAAATTTCACGGGCGTTCTCGCCACGGAAATCCCACGGTGCAGACGACCACTACAGCTGTACGGTTTGATGTGCTTTGTAGGGGGCGGTAAGTGCGATAGGTGATACTAGTTGCTGCCCCATTCAATGCTCATACATAGCCCTTACGAGCATGTTTGTGGCAGAAACGAGATACGATTTTGGTTTCTAGATAGGAAGGGGCGCCGAAGTGGAACGGTTTTTCCGCAGATGAGGAAGATGTACGTTTGGGCTTGAGACGGCGACGGTTGGTTGGGGCGGTTTTGATGCCGAAGACGGAATTGGGAACAAGATGGTGTCTCTGCGGCCTGCTTGTATCGGACAAGCTCGATGAGTGCGCGCAACGCGTGGTAGCCCGGTCTCAGGACTTTCGAAACACGCACGCGTTCATGGCCGGCCGTACACAAGTTCTTTAAGGAGGTGAAGCCCCCTATGAATCCCCTCCTCGGCTTGACTTGATGCGTGTTTGGGTGCGCGTAGAGGAAAGGAAGGAGGATCGACCAAGAGACAGGAAAAGGGACTTTTTTTTTTATCTTTTATCCGCTAGAGGAGGGTGAGAGCTCACGAGAGAGGAAGGGCAGACGACAGAAAGTACCAGATACCAGAAGGCATGCATGCGTGCTGTGGATATCGTCTTATTATAGATACCTTTGACAAGTGGACAAGGCTGCCAACATTTCCATAACAATGTGTGTAAATGCCGAAGGCATGTGTGGATGTTTGTCTCAGCACTGTGAAGACCTCCCGAATACGAACCACTTTCCATGGCCCCACCGCAGGTGTGCAATCCTTGACTGATCACGAGCGAGTTTAATGTGTTGTTGGCACGTACGTTCTTCACAGGGGGGTCCGTCCGTCAACCGGTGGGCCACATTATTTTTTTTAAGTTCGTTCATTCCCCCCTGACTATTAACCACGCCGATAGATCCACCACCACCTACTAATACTGATACATGTGCGTACCCCAAAAACAAGGTGTCTATTAACCCTCCGCAAAAGAAAAAGACCTTTCGATCGGCCCGTCCGATTGGGCTCCGCGCCCGACCATTGCGGCCACACTCCAACAAGACATGAGAAACGGACCAGACACACTGAGGGAGAGAAGAAGCCACTAGTCCCGACCTTTCCCTCCTAAAAAAAAACGATGAACCAACTGCTACAGTCCTTCGGCAACAATGTTGCTCGGCTCTGACAAATTTGAATTCATCCCGCTGTCAACCATCTCCTCGGTCCAGTCCTCGTCCCCCGAAAGGGAGCCTAGATACCAAAGCAACGGAGGGGAGGGGGGCGCACTCATGTCTCGCACATGCCCTAGTTGTTCGACCGTTGGCCACGTGTCCTCGAGAGGAAGCATCGTTCCCACAGGACCGATCACCGACGGCCAATCGTTCCTTCCTACTTTGCCAAACGTGACTAAGGGAGGAGGGGGTGGACCAAACTCAACGAAACCACACATCAATCTACGAAAAGTGGTACATCTTGCAACGCACGGAAGAGGGCGAGAGGAAGCAAGGGTAGGCAGCTCTCGTCTCGTCTGCCTTAAAGCAGAACATAGACATCCCAACGGGATGGGAATGGGTATGCTCTAGTCCCCCTCTCCTCTACAGAACCTAAATAACTAAATAACACCCGAGGGAACCGTCGCACAAAAAAAAAAAAAAAAAAGCCCGTCCGGTACGAGGTCATCGGGCGACGCCCTCGTCAAGAACATACGTATGCATAGGTGTCAACGACTACGAGCCACAAAACCAAAATTCGGCGGTCATCACGCCGAAAAACACGTGCGGACTCACGGAGGAGAGTAAAAACATTTCGCCAGACACTTTGGTGCGTGAAGAAACACCAGAGCAGCAACAAACTGCAAGAAAAAGACGATCGGTCAAACTAGACACATTCTTTGCTTACGGCTTTTCCCCTCCTTCCACTCCTACTCTCCCTTTCACACGCCAACAAAAAACATCCGCAGCTGCGGCAACAGCAAGCAACCAACCAGACAATCAAGTCACCCAGGAGAAGCGCTGCAGCTGCTGCTGCTGCAGCTGCTGCTGCTGCTGTTGTGCTACGTCTTGGCATCAAAAAACGTCCCGGTCTGTGCTCAGTACGTCTCCTAAACGACCGTACCGGTCCAACTGACGTAGGCGCTTTCTTCCGGGGTCTTTCACAGGCCAAATTCCCCCCCCAAAAAAGGACAACGAGACTTTTCACAACACCCAAGTTCCACCAATCAAAGTACGGTCCAACTGACCTCGGATGCCTAATTCCGTGGTCAGTCAATGGCCAAATACCCGGAAAAAACGGGTGCACACGGTTCGAAAAAAAAAAAAATGCAAAAAATACTCCTCACAACAACAAACAACCACTGATCAAAAGTAAGACCTGCTAATGCTGCTGCCGTTCCGCGGGAAGCGAGGGGACCGTACCAGCTTGTCCACCTTCCGCCTGACCTCTTCCAAAAGCTCGCGGGCACCGGCATCCCTGTCCGCGTCCTCCCCACCGGCAGAGGCCGCGGACGAGGAGGAGAAGCGGAGAGAGTCGAGGCCGGCAAGGGTGTCGTGGGCCAGGCGCTCCAGCCTCTCCGGCCGGACCGTCTCCGAGACGAGCCCCACGCCCCCCGCCGCCGCCTTTGAAGCAATTCCGGCAGATACGGTTTCAATTAAACAAAAAAATCGACGATTGGATTAGATAGAATTTTTCGGCTATACCATCCTGATAAAATTATGATGAATTTTTCCACGATATTTGTTGAAAAGAAAGTCGACGACACGATTTGACTACGGCGGTTTCTTATAACGTTCGGAAATGCACTTCAAAAATGTGCATTTCCAAATTCGGACCAAAAACTGTTTCTTATAAGAAAAGATAATGACACTTTTCCCCCTGAACATTTTCGATTTCACGTTTCCAACCGGTCATGCGTTTGGAAATGATGACAATTTTCGATCGGATGGCGCGTTTGTTTTTTGCGTTTGGAAATGCACACCACACGGACAAAACCATCGATTGCGCAGCAAGTACTGGTCGTAGCGAGCTCATCAAGGGCTCCGAGCACCCCTCGGAGCATTGTGCTGCCATCCCAGCCGTTTATACGTGGTTGCCGTGTGGCCAGTTGCGCTCAAAGCAAAATGTTGGCCAGCTGCCACACACACCGCTTGCTCAGACCCTCAAAGAGACGCGTCATCATCCCAACACACACACATCGATGGACGATATGTTCATTTTCTCGCTCGCTAGATCACCACTGCTGCTGAAACTTGAGAGGATGTGAGCTCCATCAACTGCTCTCTGTCGGAGGGGCTGTGTCATTGCTGTTGGTTCGGTCAATGGAGAGGGATAGCTACAGCGCCACCGGTGACACGGCGAGAAACCTGTACAGCAGCAGTGAGCGGCACGATGATGATGTCACTTCTCGAACAACATACACACAGCTACGGGCGGATGGCCTTGTGGTCTCCGCTGGTTCGGTTAGTGAAGAGGGGTCGCCACGAGAACAAAGCTGTGATGGGGCAAAAATCTGTCGAAAGCTGTTTGTTCGAGCGGGGGGTCTTTTTCGAACAGCAGTTGCCCCTCGCGCCAACTTCAATTCTCAACCACCCAGCGCCTCACGGTCTGTAGCAACCATCCCACATGAGGCATCATACGCACAGCTACCGTCGGATGACTTTATTATTGCTGTTGTGTCACTCAGTGCACAGAGATCCCCGAAAAACCAAACCGTGGGGTTAGCGATTGGAAAAAACACACGGCCGCATTCCTAACCAGCAGTGCAAAAAAAAAAAAAAAAAAACGACTGCACTACAAGAAGCGTCTTGATCGACACGTTGTTCTTTTCTTCCGAATAGGAAATTACACATTTTTTGAACAGGATTTTCAAACCTTATAAGTAACCGCCTAGAAAAAAATCGTTTTATTTTTGTGGCTGACACAAACGCAAGGGGCGGCGCGCGCAGCGTGGGCTAGGTTGGGGGAAACCACTAGTAGCACATCCTCTTTCATCAGAGGATGGTAGAACCAACCGCGTTGTAGCCACGACTGGCTGGGGGGTCCATCCATAAACAACACTTTTTTCGTCAGGAGAGCACCGACGCTCTCCCTCGCCATACATGGTCGCCTAGGATCAAAATAATCGGACGCAAACATGCAGTCCCGCCCTATGCATACCACGACTAGGACCAGAATGGACGGACGCAAAACAAGCAGTCCCGCCCTACCACGACAACAACTCCCTCCTTTACAGACGTTACAACAGAGTACCATCCGCTCGAAAACATGCCAAACAGAGAAAAACACGCCCAACGCACCTTGATACCGTCGCCGCCAGCGGCAGCCAGCTCTAGCAGCCGAGCCATCACGGCGAACCGCCTCAGCCTCGCGTGGTCGTCAGAGGGGTAGTGGTGCTGATTCAGGTACTCGTACGCATCGAGCAGGACCACCGCCGACAAGCCCGCCCGGCCAACCGCCTCAACCACACACAAAGCCGACGCCTGAATCAAGTCAAGCGGGGACGGACGGCGGTAGCCAGTCAATCATAACGGTGGTTTCGGAAGGGGGG